TAGCTATGGATCGTATTCAGTATAGCCAACATGGCGATATTCGTCTTACCTAAAGCCAGGTGAATATTATTCAAACCCGATCACTTTCAAATTATTTTCAACGATTCAGGTCAAAACAAGTTTAATGAATGATAACCACAACGATTTACTAAATAAATTCGGAATTAGCAATAACTGTATTCCGATGTAACCAATGAACAACGAACCTGCTCCAGTCGGTGCACAAATAAGAAGATTCTCTTTGGTTTTGTAGGCTTGTTCGAAAACTAACGACTGAATAACATTCAGCTTCTCGTATCCTTTGAACCCAATTTGACCTAACTGAAAATTATCAAACATTCAATTCGATATGAAAACATGCATATGCTACACCTCTGCCACGATATATACTGAACTCATCGAATAACCACTGATGACGTAGAAAATTGATTCATGCATCTGTTCGGCTGATGAATCTATAAGTTAAAAGCCAAATAATCGTTCATCATTATCTACCAATAAAATATTAGCATTATCTGCCCATGCAACCAAATGAAACACACAACAGAGAGATGCATGAAGTATAAATAACGGTGATAAGGCATTACCTCGTCCATATCTTTCACATAAACGTGTCGTACATCTTGAATGGAGGTGGTGTCTGATGGAGGCACATTCACCTCGTCGTAAGTATGATGACTTATTCGCTTCGAACCAGACGGTAAGGCGAACTGAAGTTGCCGCTATTGAACACAGGAAAAGGAATAGATGAATGGCTAGGATGAACAATGCAACAATGTTATGTTATGGCGATGAAAATACACGAAACTAAAGAGCACATGTTTTAAGATGTTTTTATATGCGGCAAAATGAAGTGGCAGTGAAATCGTGGAAAATTTGCACTGAAATGCTGATGATATAAACGGAATGCGGTGAAACGGCTTTGTGTTAAATTACAATCATCAACAAAGAATTGCATGAGAACAGTTCGATATCGAGAAAAATATTGCGCTGAGATGAATTGAAGTGTATTTGATGAAAAGGTGACAACAGAAACCTTCAGACCGTTGAGTGTCAAATCAGTCTGCTCGCCTGATAAGGCAGCATCGAAAACGTACGGATAATGTTCACGTGGTACCAGTGGTACACGAGTCTCGTCACTCGATGACAACTGTACCCATTGTGTATTCAACAATTCCAGTTGTCTGCAAATTTTTAATGCTTTACTCTTACCAAAACAATTCTGATGCTGAATACTATTTGATAAGTTACAATATAACAAGAAAATTATAGTGATACATTCACGATCGTGCATGGGATTTGCTACTCGAATCTTATTAAGACACACAACAGCAATTCACGGATTACGTGATACAATTTGACGATGCTTAAGATTCAATGGAAAATAACAGCGTTCTCAAGTTTGAAAAAAGAATACGAATTGGCATCATTTTCATTTCAAACGTATGACTGTGAAGAATAAAAAATACTAACCGCTGTTTCATAATATCGCGTCGTGCTAACTCAATTTCCAATTTCTCTTCCTCTCCGAACGCATGTGTGATCCGATTGAATTCCTTGTTCGCACGTTTTTGTTCCTTCCTTAATTCACGTCTCAACTCAGACTCCATCTTCGACTGAACCGTTACCTGTTGACAATACTGGGGTGCTGATGATGCCGTGTCATCTGCATCCTTCAGTGCCTTCAAGAAACATTTATTGGTGTCGAACAGTCGAAAATACACACAATGCATATTAATTTAAAAATACATGGTTATAATGTTTATTGTGCAAACATTCAATAAGCTTAGGATTAATAAATAATGTTGTTATCATAGTTAAAGTATAATATTGTCAATTTCATAATAAGGTGGGTGTTGCATAAGAAACAGTCAACAATAATTCGATCAACAGAAACGAACGACCGCAAGAACACACCATGAGCTGCGTTAGTTTCGATTGCTTTTTTCCTTCGCCTTTCATTGCATTCAACTCCTCAGTCAAACTCACTCTCGATTCAAGTATTGAAGCAACCATATCAAATTGCTCAACGCCCAACAGATCGATCAGCTGAACGAAAACAATTTGTCATTAATTCAATATGCACACAACAACAATCTAGCACCCAAAAAACTCAGAATATATAAATACACGCTGATGTATTTATACATTTTCGGTGATCTAGCTCAAAACTGAAATAAAAAATGAACGAAAATGATAGACTCGACCAATTTTATAACATTACTGATAACTATTATCAAGAAATCCTTTACTAATTATAAACTAGATTCCTTTTACATAAAATTTAACGTATATAATTAACTACAACAAGTTCGACTGTGATTTTCAAAAAAAAAACATCAATGAATCAAATATCTTTGAAATTTTTCTAAATTTAATAAAATTCTTATGAATTATCATAATCACTACTGATAGGTTATATAACGATTCATTACTATCATCACAAAATCAAATGCTTAAAATTAACCAATAAGAACACCCCTCACTCAAAGTCAACTTGACTTATAATTTCTACCTCACTCTGCAATGCGCCATCACTACGCTCTGACGTTAACAGTTCAATCATATGACGATATATTGAATCACACTCTTCGTACAAACCACTGATCACTTTGAATAATTCAACTGCCGTTAAAGTTTGATTGCTTTGTGAAGAAGATGGCTGCAAAACATTGACGGTCAGTGCGGTTCTCAACTGTGATAAATCAATTTTTAATAAGTCATTAATTTCGTCCAGTGAAACAATTTCATTTCTTTTGGTTTCCAGTCTATCGTATGGCTAAACACCTGAACCATGATCACAACGAAACTGCAGGTTACGAACGAAACATTTCACGCTAAAAACAAAACTTGTGATAAAGGAAAACCATTATTCAGTGAATGCAAAAAATCAGTTCAATTTTCATTCATGCATATTAATCCTTTAATTTTGACGAAGGAAAAAAAANAAAAAAAACCTTAAAAATCTACTATCGACCAAAGAAACCATTCAATGAAGAAAAATAAGAATTTCTTCCAAGAAATGGAAATATTCATCTTGAAATACTAACAGAATAAACTCTCATCATCGCGTAAAGCAATAATATCAGTAAATACCTCGTCGATATCTCCACCTGTCGCAATCTCACTCAAACTCACTCCATCATTACTATTCAATTCGTTTCTCGTACCCGTTCCAACATCTTCCAAATTCGCTTTCTTCCAACGAATTCGTCGCACAAATTTTGGACTGGAAATTGGTTATGATGATACCTTTATAATAGCTCTTTTTTTAATACCATCGCTCAATATCAAAATCATAACTGTTCGAAAAGCAAATACTGTTGATATTAAGCAGAAAATTAATGGAAGCCGGAGAAAGCAAATAAAACTGGGGATTACTTTAAACTTACAAAGAATCAGTTAGGACACAAATGCTGATATATCAACTACACTCAAATCAAACAGACCGCATTCGACTACGTTTCAAGTCTAGACGTATGAATGAAACTGTTTAATAGTTTAACAATGATCAATTTGAAATTTGTCTTGAATATCTCATTTAATCACTAGTTCTCAAATTATTTGAGGGTACAATGAATGAAAATAAGTTTAAAAAAACCAACTTGAGAACCATATCCCTGTTGCAAGGCCACCTTATCGTTACACCCAATGCGTTCTCAAAGCTTTTAAGAATCGTTTTCGTTGGAGCTGCCATCTCATCGCGTGATACCTGTACATTAGATTTCACTAGCCAAATAAAAGAATAATTAATGTGATAATGTCAAAATGATAATCATTAACAAATTTAATACTTTAACATTCAATTTGAGTTAATCAGACATGCTAAAGAATTACAATGGTCTTTTCTCAGGAAACATGAATTCGAGGATGAATATGTGATGCAAAGAAGGAATAATATGAACTTGATCTTGCTTATTTCTATTGATTCGGATACTGTACAACGGTGGATCATATCGATACTTGTCCGATGAGACAGCCAATTGCCAGTTCGTCATGACCACTTCTTGAAACACCTTCAGGCCAACTTCAGAACGAATTTTCGACACAACTGAAAACGAAACTACTCTGAATACTTCGAATGATTCAACCGAAATACGAACAATCCTCTAAACAAACGATACGAATGAAGAAAAATTGTTCATTATCAATTATGTATTTGAAACTTTCAGTGCATAAAATGTATTGCAGTTTGGGGGATAACGTTGTGTTTCTGCGATTGAATTTAGAAAGAAAAGATTAGTGATAATTTTAATTCTGGGAAAAAGATTCACTTACTTGAGGCAATCGTTTCGACAGTATCATTGTCAACATCTCGCTGACACAATCCAGCAATGGCAAGTTGCATTTCCTTGGCATTCGGTGCACCCGAAACGTTTCGAAAAATGTACAAACAGAACAATGATCGATAAAGAATACCATTTGAATCTGAAAATTTGATCGCTATTAATATTATCATTGTCTCATTACAACAACTTCCATGTTTTTAAAAGTTTGCATCTAATTGCGAATGCGAGGAAAAGATTTCAATCGAATCAAACGGAATGAACCTAGATTAGCGACAATTTTTTCGAGAGCGTCGAACTTCTGACAAAGATGCCATAGATGAGAGATATCCAGTCGATTTGCACTCAGCTTAATTTGTTTTTTACATAGCTCATACGGGTGAACATCATGCTGGCTTTGGGTCGAATTTGCATTTTCATTTACCGTTTTATCCTGAAATTTGCAATTAGTGAATTAACGATCATTACACTTGAATTTTTTAAAAATATGATGACTGGATTTAAAAAAATATATGATTTTAAAATTTAAAAAAAGACTTTCAAAAAACCTTTGATGAAGCCGACTCTTTCAAAAAAAAACCTTTGATAAAGCCGACTCTTTCAACAAAAAAAAATACCTTTGACAAATGATCACCGAACGAGATCAATGCCGATATCGGCATCTTCGTCTCCTTTTGACCACCCAATTTTGATGGTACCTTCGTCGAAATAATTGACGATTGCTCATTAGTGAAGTCGATTAAACGTAAACGATGACGCATTTCAGATGTGCAATCTCTTGTCCGTGCTGAAGAATGCTCCATGCTTGTTTAAATGCTACAACAGTGAGCAACTAATAAAACGCGACCTTTTTCTAACGAATTTCCAAAACTTATCAACCGTTCACTCTATTTCATAACTCACGGGTCTCAGTCGAGGATCTAATCCCAGGGGAACCCCCACCAAGCGCTATTCCCAACACCTGACCCAGCACTAGTGGCAGCAGATTCCCGGTGCCATCCGATCGTCAAAGTCTTCTCCACCGATTGATCAACTTCGTTTAGTTTCAACCGGTGGCTAGCCACCTAAACCTACTCGCAATGAGTTATTAGGAAGAATTATTATTGTCATAATGAAAAAAAGGTCTCCGATGTGTTAAGAAATTATTTGGCGAAGTCTGCTCTTTCCATCATATTCAAATGCATTTCATGGCAACGTTGTTTCCGCAAGCTCTATAGCAGCCACTGGCAAGTTATATATATAAATATAAATAAATGAATATATATATATA